TCTTTGGTCACCAGTTAGGTCATGTTGTTTCAAAACCCGGCCACGATGTTTTTTGACGTCGTGGAAACGCGGGTTTAACTTCGCGGGAGGCAATTTTGTCTATTTTTGTTTCTTCCTTATAGGACACATCTTCCGAAGCTGCCTCATCGCGAACAGGCCGGCCTCGCTGTTCCAAGCCAGCAACAGGTATCCCCCCACCCCCCGCGTGAGAGCCGCCACGTTGTCGGAGGGACGGCAGAACGACGGCGCTCTTCCGCCTGTGCCGCCCCCACCGATTCGAGGGACCTCGCGAGCGCACGCAGCGCGCCCCAAGGGGCCGTCCATAAATGACGTCACGCGATTTTAGGACGATTTCTGACCCCCCCCCCCCTCGTCACGCGGCGTCACAAAAAATCAGACCCCCCCCCCCCTTCAAATATGACGTCACAAAGCTCTACCCCCCCCCCCAACGGAAGAAAACACAAAGACAAAGATCCCCTGTATAGCCTTAACAGACTGCAGGGGCAAGTGCTGTTAGCGAGCACCTATGAAGGCCGGAACGGCACACGAGAGGGTAGGTGGCCAGCACCACGCCCGACCGCCTTTGTCTCCCTAGTGGCGATGTTTACACACCGCACCAGGTACTCATTTGAGGCTGAGTCGACCTAGGGGAGGCCCGGGACCGGTTCAGATAATCGTCACTGGTGTTGGCCGTGAGCGGGAATCGAACTCGTGTCCCCGGGTTCATAGCGCAGCGCGCTAACCGCTACACCACCGCTCCCCCCTATACACACAGACACGCGCACCCACACTGACCCACAACACAACTCGCGCTACGAATAGCCCGGCAGTGACAGATTCCCACGAAACACGTGCTGCTGCTGCTGTTACTGTTGTTGTTGTTGCCGTTTCACTCCGTGAGAGCCGGTCGCTCCATCGCGTCCAGTCTGTTTACAGCTGAGAACTCGGAGCACAGGCCCCAGGGGGGGTCCCAGGGGGGGTCCCAAGGGGGGGGGGGGGCACGAACCCCCCTCCCACGAACCCCCCCTCCCACCGCCACCTGACTTCTCAGGATGTTTGCCTTTGCCACGTCACGCACTCATCTGCAGGCTGCTATTTATACACGGGCGCAATGAATAAGTGACGCGCTTCCATGTCACAGGCCCATTCGTGGTGCCATTGAGCGTGGCTTTCCCCGTACAAGGATGAGTGGAACGGGAATGGATGTATTTTGTTACGATCCCAATGCTCGATTAAACGGGAATCGACCGATTTTTAAGGATACAAAGCTTTATCCGTGATTGATCCATACTCGAACACATAGGCACATGTATTTAAAATATCACAACTTGATCCGTGATTGATCCATACTCGAACACATAGGCACATGTATTTAAAATATCACAGATTGATCCGTGATTGATCCATACTCGAACACATAGGCACATGTATTTAAAATATCACAACTTGATCCGTGATTGATCCATACTCGAACACATAGGCACATGTATTTAAAATATCACAGATTGATCCGTGATTGATCCATACTCGAACACATAGGCGCATGTATTTAAAATATCACAGATTGATCCATGATTGATCCATACTCGAACACATAGGCACATGTATTTAAAACATCACAGATTTATCCGTGATTGATCCATACTCGAACACATAGGCGCATGTATTTAAAATATCACAGATTTATCCGTGATTGATCCATACTCGAACACATAGGCGCATGTATTTAAAATATCACAACTTGATCCGTGATTGATCCATACTCGAACACATAGGCACATGTATTTAAAATATCACAGATTGATCCATGATTGATCCATACTCGAACACACGTGCACATGTATTTAAAACATCACAGCTTGATCCATGATCGATCCATGCTCGAACACAAGTTGAACTTTTTGGGCACCGTACGTAGACAACCGTGGCTAATCGGACAAACTACACGCAACAATAAGCAGTTCTAAAGAAATGTGTTCTCAATGTTGTATAGTGGTGTAGTGTATAGGTAGTGTAGTGTATAGTAGTGTAGTGTGTAGTTTATAGCAGTGTAGTATATAGTAGTGTAGTGTATAGTGTAGTATATAGTAGTGTAGTATATAGTGTAGTATATAGTGTAGTATATAGTAGTGTAGTATATAGTGTAGTATAGCAGTGTAGTGTATAGTGTATAGTAGTGTAGTGTATAGTAGTGTAGTTTATAGCAGTGTAGTATATGGTAGTGTAGTGTATAGTAGTGTAGTATAGCAGTGTAGTATATAGTGTATAGTAGTGTAGTGTATAGTAGTGTAGTGTATAGTAGTGTAGTATAGCAGTGTAGTATATAGTAGTGTAGTATAGCAGTGTAGTGTATAGTAGTGTAGTGTATAGTAGTGTAGTATATAGTAGTGTAGTATATAGTAGTGTAGTATAGCAGTGTAGTGTATAGTAGTGTAGTGTATAGCAGTGTAGTGTATAGTAGTGTAGTGTATAGTAGTGTAGTATATAGTAGTGTAGTATATAGTGTAGTGTATAGTAGTGTAGTGTATAGCAGTGTAGTATATAAGTGTAGCATATAGTCGTTTGTATGAGTGTATGTTGAACTTATTTCGCACCGTACGTAGCCAACCGTGCTCTGGATAGTGGCGGATGGGCAGCCAGGGGATAGGTTCGGCCACCGGGGAGATGGAGCGTGTGTCGAGCAGGCGCTGGGCGGTGATGGCTCGGGGAGAGGCCTTCATCCAGCAGTGGAAGGACAGCAAACTGGACACGAACGAGTCGTTCTCAAATGCAGTGAGGCTGTGCTGCCCTCTAGCGGTGATCTGTCAAAACTCCACGCGGAGTTTCGAGGCTCATCGCGCAGCGCTGTCAAAGTAAATAGACTCCACAACTATGGCTCAGATTGTAAATGTTGTCGATTTTCTCTCCAACACACATTGTCCTGCGGAGGGAGCTGGTAGGAACGTTTGGGTTGCTCGGTCAATGGCCTGCAGGGTCAACGGCGGCGTGGTGTATTCCGCAAATATGCCCGACTGTGAGGGCGGGCACAAGCCGGCGTGAGTAGGTTAAACGTTGAGTTTTATAAGGGCACCACGGGGTGACCAGCCCCTCCCCACCCTCCCCACCCAGCCCCACCCTCCCCACCCAGCCCCTCCCCACCCTCCCCACCCTCCCCACCCAGCCCCTCCCCACCCTCCCCACCCAGCCCCTCCCTCCCTCCCCACCCAGCCCCTCCCCATCCTCCCCACCCAGCCCCTCCCCACCCTCCCTCCCCACCCAGCCCATCCCTCCCCACCCAGCCCCTCCCCACCCTCCCCTCTCCACCCAGCCCCACCCCTCTCATTTTTGGATGCACGACGGACGGACACAATAATCCCCTGTGGGCTGGTGGAACCAGGAGGTTCTACCAGTACTAGTAACCCATTGGCATGTTCTGTTCACTTGACACACCTTACTAATTGGCTGTGTCGGGTGGTAGCGGGTTTAATGACACATTTATATTTACGCAATCTAAGCCCCCCAAAAAAAACCAATATTATGGATTATATTGGTCGCGAAAGCCTACGTGTTAAGTTAACGAATGTTAACAGTGCTAAGGCCCCACTGAGCTATTTGGCTTATTTTTCAGAAACGAGCTGGCCAAAGGTGGCTTATCGTGTGGACATTTATAGCAGCCAAATGCTCTAAACGCGTGATGTTGATTCTCAGAGCCGGCCAAGCCAATAAGCGACCCTTGCAATTGCAAAGGGTCCCGTGGGCAGCAGAGGGCCCCCTAGAGTCACCGCTAGCTAGGTGGGTGAAAAAATCATACATCAAAAGTAACATACAATAAATAAATAAAAAGAAATGGGCCTCCAAACTAATTTTGCTTAGGGCCCCCAAAGGTCTAGGGCCGGCTCTGTTGATTCTAAATGAGGAGGGGAAAACCGGAGGGCTCTGATCAGCATGATGAGTCTACAATAGAATTGCACGGGCTATCATCGACTGGACCAAATTGTAAACTATTTGTTTTATTTTACCAGGTTAGGCCAACTGAGCTACAGTGAGGGAAAAAAGTATTTGATACCCTGCTGATTTTGTACGTTTGCCCACTGACAAAGAAATGATCAGTCTATAATTTTAATGGTAGGTTTATTAGAACAGTGAGAGACAGAATAACAACAACAAAATCCAGAAAAACGTATGTCAAAAATGTTATAAATTGATTTGCATTTTAATGAGGGAAATAAGTATTTGATCCCCTCTCAATCAGAAAGATTTCTGGCTCCCAGGTGTCTTTTATACAACAACATTAACCGTGTGCGACATCGCCAACGCAGCAGCAGCAGCTAATTTGTGCAATCTCGAGGAAGGTGTCACTCTTGTGAGTGTATACAAATATAAGAATAGTACTTTCTATTTTTTTCGGTAAATAAAAAATAAAAATGAAAACAAATGAAATCACGACGTTTCGGAAGCAACACAAGTCTCCGTCTTCAGGTGGAACCGCCACAGCAAAATTGCTTTAATTTTGTTGTTTTCATTTTAATTTATTTTATTTTTTGCCTTCGTGACTTTACCGAAAAAACTAAAAATATGGATCCTTACAGTCACGAAAACTTCAAATCTAGAATTAATATAAGAATAGGTTTTACCCTTTCTGGCAATAAAAGTTGTGTGAAGATGTTAAAACGCCAAACTGAAACCTTTTTTGCAAGGAATCATGTCACTGCATTAACCACACACACTGCTTGTGGCGAACACGAAAATAAAAAAATGCAATAAACAAAGAAATGCAATAAAACTAATCAGTTTCAAAGACAACGCAACATAAACTTTCAGAGCATGTTTATTGTTTAATGTTCATCACAAGTACTGTGTGGTTAACGCAGACGTGAGTTCGTTGTTTTAACATCTTAACCACCGCCTATTCGACTTGCCAGAAAGGGTAAAACACCTATTCTTATGCGAAGGGGCCTTGCCCGAAACGTCGCCACCCACAGAACGCCCCGTGACCTCTAGCCCCACCCCGTGACCTCTAGCCCCGCCCCGTGGTCAGCCTCCTCCATCGCGCTCCACGTGTCTGGGCAGACGAGCGGCTCGGCCTGCCAACTAGAAACTAAACAACGACAACGCGCCGAATTACTCGGCTTTATACAACAACAACAATAACAATTTGTTTGTTTGTTTGTTATCCTGCACGTGATTTGCCTCGTCTCTCGTCGGAGCCATGTCGGACAACGAAGACAAGTGAGTCTCTGTGTGTGTGAGTGTCTCTGTGTGTGTCTCTTTGTGTGTGAGTGTTTGTGTGTGTGTCTCTGTGTCTGTGTGTGTGAGTGTCTCTGTGTGTGAGTGTCTGTGTGTGTCTCTGTGTCTGTGAGTGTCTCTGTGTGTGTGTGTATCTGTCTCTGTGTGAGTGTCTCTGTGTCTGTGTGTGTGAGTGTGTCTGTCTGTGTGTGTCTCTGTGTGTGTCTCTGTGTGTGTCTCTGTGTGTGTGTCTCTGTGTCTGTGTGAGTGTCTCTGTGTCTCTGTGAGTGTCTGTGTGTGTGTCTGTGTGTGTCTCTGTGTCTGTGTGAGTGTCTCTGTGTGTGTGTGTATCTGTCTCTGTGTGAGTGTCTCTGTGTCTGTGTGTGTCTCTGTGTGTGTCTCTGTGTGTGTGTCTCTGTGTCTGTGTGAGTGTCTCTGTGTCTCTGTGAGTGTCTCTGTGTGTGTGTCTGTGTGTGTCTCTGTGTCTGTGAGTGTCTCTGTGTGTGTGTGTATCTGTCTCTGTGTGAGTGTCTCTGTGTCTGTGTGTGTCTCTGTGTGTGTCTCTGTGTGTGTGTCTCTGTGTCTGTGTGAGTGTCTCTGTGTCTCTGTGAGTGTCTCTGTGTGTGTGTCTGTGTGTGTCTCTGTGTCTGTGTGAGTGTCTCTGTGTCTCTGTGAGTGTCTCTGTGTGTGTGTCTGTGTGTGTCTCTGTGTCTGTGAGTGTCTCTGTGTGTGTGTGTATCTGTCTCTGTGTGAGTGTCTCTGTGTCTGTGTGTGTCTCTGTGTGTGTCTCTGTGTGTGTGTCTCTGTGTCTGTGTGAGTGTCTCTGTGTCTCTGTGAGTGTCTCTGTGTGTCTCTGTGTCTGTGTGTGTCTCCGTGTGTGTGAGTGTCTCTGTGTCTGTGTCTCTGTGTGAGTGTGTCTCTGTATCTGTCTCTGTGTCTGTGTGAGTGCCTCTGTGTCTCTGTGAGTGTCTGTGTGTGTGTCTCTGTGTGCCCACACGCGGCCTGGTTGTGTGTGTGGGGGGCCGCGGTGTTTGGCGGCTGCGACAGAGAGACGCCTCCGCGTGTAGGCCCCGGGGCTGGGGAATTGATGTTAAACAACAGTCGGTCCTGTCTCCTTCTTCACAAGTTAAACAACAGTCAGTCGGTCAGTCAACACCCCCCCAAGCTAAACAACAGTCGGTCCTGTCTCCCTCTTCACAAGTTAAACAACAGTCGGTCAGTCAGTCAACACCCCCCCAAGCTAAACAACAGTCGGTCCTGTCTCCCTCTTCACAAGTTAAACAACAGTCGGTCAGTCAGTCAACACCCCCCCAAGCTAAACAACAGTCGGTCCTGTCTCCCTCTTCACAAGTTAAACAACAGTCGGTCAGTCAGTCAACACCCCCCCAAGCTAAACAACAGTCGGTCCTGTCTCCCTCTTCACAAGTTAAACAACAGTCAGTCGGTCAGTCAACACCCCCCCAAGCTAAACAACAGTCGGTCCTGTCTCCCTCTTCACAAGTTAAACAACAGTCGGTCAGTCAGTCAACACCCCCCCAAGCTAAACAACAGTCGGTCCTGTCTCCCTCTTCACAAGTTAAACAACACTCGGTCAGTTAGTCAACACCACCCCAAGCTAAACAACAGTCGGTCGGTCAGGCTTTACGGTGGTTATGAGATGTTAACTACCTCGCCTGGTGTACAGGAGGTCGTGGGTTCCATCCCGACCCCGACGCCTGCTGCTGTATATTTGGAGTTTGCGTGTCTCTCTCATCATCATCACGGTGGCGAGGAGATGTTGACTACCTCGCCGGGTTTACAGGAGATCGTGGATTCGATCTTGACCCTGACGCCTGCTGCTGTATATTTGGAGTTTGCGTGTCTCTCTCATCATCATCACGGTGGCTATGAGATGTTAACTACCTCGCCTGGTCTACAGGAGGTTGTGGGTTCCATCCCGAGCCTGACGCCTGCTGCTGTATATTGAGTTTGCGTGTCTCTCTCTCTCATCATCATCACGGTGGCTAGGAGATGTTAACTACCTCGCCTGGTGTACAGGAGGTCGTGGGTTCGATCTCGACCCTGATGCCTGCTGCTGCTGTATATTTGGAGTTTGCATGTCTCTCTCTCTCTCTCATCATCACGGTGGCTAGGAGATGTTGACTACCTCGCCTGGTGTACAGGAGGTCGTGGCTTCCATCCCGACCCTGACGCCTGCTTCTGCTGTATATTTGGAGTTTGCGTCTCTCTCATCATCATCACGGTGGCTAGGGATGTTAACTACCTCGCCTGGTCTGCAGGAGGTCGTGGGTTCGATCCCGACCCTGACGCCTGCTGCTGCTGCTGTATATTTGTAGTTTGCGTGTCTGTATCTCTCCCCGTGGTCGCGTGGATTTTTCTCCGGGTCCTCCGGTTTTCCCCTCCACATTTAGAATCGACACCACGCCTGTCAGAGTGTTTAGCAGTGACGTGCCGATATGTGACCTCTCTCTGTGTGTCCTTGTGATGTCTGTCTGCTTGTATGTATGTCTATAGTTTTCTAGTTAGATTTTTGTTGCTATTTCTTTTATGCCAAATAAACACTCGTTTAGTTGTATAGTTTAGCTGCTGGGTGGTGATGGCTAGCGGATGTCTTCATCCAGCAGTGGACTGTTTACGGCCGTCGTTGATAATAAGATCCGTGCGCGCCGTCTCCCCTCTGCGCCCCGCGTCTCCGCCTGCAGTTTCGATGGAGATGATTTCGCTGAAGATGAGGAGGCGATGGACGACCTCGACAATGCCGAGGAGGTGACGGCATCGCCATGAGCGTCTCCCTCTCACCTCGTCCCCCAGTGTCGTGTATCCTCGTATCACCTTCGCTGTCCTGTGTCTCCCTCCACGTCCCTGTGTCACCCTCCACATCTCCCTGTGTCTTCCATCAAGTTCCTGTCTCCCTCTTAAAATCCCTGTCCGTCCCTCTGCCTCGCTGTGTCTCCCCTCATCTCACTGTGTCTCCCTTCCATCACCCTGTCTCCCTTCCATCTCACTGTGTCTCCCCTCATCTCACTGTCTCCCTTCCATCTCACTGTGTCTCCTATCTCACTGTGTCTCCTTCCATCACCCTGTCTCCCTTCCATCTCATTGTGTCTCCTATCTCACTGTGTCTCCTATCTCCCTGTGTCACCCCTCATCTCCCTGTGTCACCCCTCATCTCCCTGTGTCACCCTTCACCTCGCTATGTCTCCCATGATCTCCCCGTGACTACTCTCCCCCCGTGTCTTTCCACGTGCCACCAAGTCTCTCCGCGTCCGCCCCGCGAGTCTCCCCCAGTGTCCGTCTCTCTCCCCACGTGTGTGTGCGCGTCCCAGAGTGACCCTATCTACATGGCGCGTATCTCTGTGTGTGTGATGTGTCTCTCTCTGTCTGCTGCCCGTGTGTGAGCAGGAGGGCGAGGAGAGAGTGGAGGTGCTCGCTGCGGGAGATGGGACCCCAGGGGCAGCGAAGAGAATCACCACTCCGTACATGACCAAGTACGAGAGGGCACGAGTCCTGGGCACCCGCGCCCTGCAGATCGCGTGAGTCTCGCACCGCAAAGACTGGTCCCGGGCCTCTCCTAGGTCGACTTGGCCTCAAATGAGTACCTGGTCGCAGTGTGTAAACGTCGCCACCGGGCAGACGAAGGCGGCCGGGCGTGGTGCTGGCCACCCGCCACCTCGTGTGCCGTGCCGGCCTTGGTAAATCTACTCGCCAACAGCACTTGCCCCAGCGGTCTGTTAATGCTATACGGGGGATCTTTGTCTTTGCGCTGTGTGTGTGTGTGTGAGCAGCATGTGCGCCCCAGTCATGGTGGAGTTGGAAGGGGAAACCGATCCACTGCAGATCGCTATCAAGGAACTCAAGTGAGTCGAACCAGGGGTTCATGATGCATAGCTGTCGACCCACACGGTTTACCTCGTATTCTTGTACAGGGGAATTGAGTTTTCAGGTTAATACGGCGTACAGCCGTTTGAATACGGCACATTTTTTTTTTATCTATTTGTTTGTGATGGGACTTTGTAGGATGAACGTTGAGATTTATAAGGTCACGGGGTGACCAATAAGGTCTGAATTGGTCTGTAATAAGTTAGGGCACTGATCAGGGGTTTACAGCGATGATTAATGGCCGTGTCGGAGATGCTCAGCTGGCGCTGCTGAGATTCTCTGTTCAATCCCCGAGTCCAATAAAAGCAACAGCTGCCACTGGGGGTCCCCTTGGCCTCGACTGCAGCAGGGCATTGGGTTGGTTGCAGAGGTCACAATCGGGTACCCGATACCCGTACCCTACCAGATACCCGGCTACCCGTACCCGGCCAGGTACGGGTACCCGTTAGCGACCATGGTGCGGCCGGGTATGGGTAGGCCGTGAGTTACTGGTGAGTAACCGTTTGTCACTCATTTCCCAACGTCTTGTCTCTTCTCACAATTCAAGTTCCTAGAATCAACCCACCCGCGCCTGCAACATCGCTTCATCCCAGAGGTCGCAATCGGGTACCCGATACCCGTACCCTACCCGATACCCGGCCGGGTATGGGTAGCCGGGTACGTGTAAGGTATGGGTACGGGTACCCGTTTGCGACCCTGGTGCGGCCGGGTACGGGTAAGGAATCAAAACCCGTTTGCGACCTCTGGTTGGTTGACATGAGAGGTGATGTAAGGTGCGTTGAGCAGTTGTGAGCATTGATGTGTGCACCACTCCACAGGCAAATCCCTAAAACCTCGTGTGCATTTGCAGGGCTCGGAAAATACCCATCATCATCAGGAGGTATCTGCCCGACGGGAGCTACGAAGACTGGGGAGTGGATGAACTCATAGTCACGGACTGAACACACATGGTTATTCAGATTCATGGGGATGGAGGGTTAGGACTCGGTTCCAAGAGACCAGGTCTCAGGGTCTTGAGACTCGGCTCCAGGAGACCGGGTCTCAGGATCTTGAGACTCGGCTCTAGGAGCCCGGGTCTCAAGTGTCTTGAGACTCGGCTCCAGGAGACCGGGTCTCAAAGTCTTGAGACTTGGCTGCAGGAGACCGGTTCTCAGGATATGGCAAGTTTTAGTGTTGTGTAGACTTTTACGCATCATATTAAATGAAACAAAAACTCATCAAGAATTGTACATTTCGGAATTTGACAAGTTGTATCGTTGTAATCTTTTTTGAAAATAAACATTTTTAAAAATCAGCCTTGGGTCCCATGTTCTCTCAGCTGTGCAAATGAAATTGACCATCTGCTGCCCTATTGAACAACTATTGAAGGTGTCAGACAATAGTGAACACGTCCCTTGAACTGAGCAACCTCGTTAAGAGCCTTGGGAAAAAGGATTGGGAAGAAATGACAAAGTGTAGACTTGAAGCTTTCGTGACTGCAAGGAACCATATTCTTAGGTGTTTTCGGTAAAGTCACGTAGGTAAAACATCAAAATTAATAAAAATAATAAAATAAAATAAAGATCACGACGTTTCGGAGGCAACAAGTCTCCGTCATCAGGTGGGACAGTCACAGCCAGATCAGCTGCATCAAGTGAGGCAATGATTCAAGATGTAATCCCTTAAAAGCGAGTTGAGGGGGGAGGAGAGGGGGGGGGCTCATCAGAATGTGGTAGCCAATAAATGGAAAGTATCGGGCTACCAAATTCTGATGAGCCCCCCCCCCCCCTCACTTGATGCAGCTGATCTGGCTGTAACTGTCCCACCTGATGACGGAGACTTGTGTTGCCTCCGAAACGTCGTGATCTTTATTTTATTTTATTATTTTTATTAATTTTGATGTTTTACCTACGTGACTTTACCGAAAACACCTAAGAATAATGACAAAGTGGTTCATTGCAAGGGACGCAGAGAGGTTTTGTGAGTTGGAGCCCTCTGGTGATGAGATGTTAAATACCTCGCCTGGTATACAGGAGGTCGTGGGTTCGATCCCGACCCTGACGCCGCCTGCTGCTGTATATTTGGAGTTTGCGTGTCTCTCATCATCACAGTGGCTAGGAGATGTTAACTACCTCGCCTGGTATACAGGAGGTCGTGGGTTCGATCCCGACCCTGACGCCTGCTGCTGTATATTTGGAGTTTGCGTGTCTCATCATCACGGTGGCTAGGAGATGTTAACTACCTCGCCTGGTGTACAGGAGGTCGTGGGTTCGATCCCGACCCTGACGCCTGCTGCTGTATATTTGGAGTTTGCGTGTCTCTCATCATCACGGTGGCTAGGAGATGTTAATTACCTCGCCTGGTGCACAGGAGGTCGTGGGTTCGATCCCGACCCTGACGCCTGCTGCTGTATATTTGGAGTTTGCGTGTCTCTCATCATCACGGTGGCTAGGAGATGTTAACTACCTCGCCTGGTATACAGGAGGTCGTGGGTTCGATCCCGACCCTGACGCCTGCTGCTGTATATTTGGAATTTGCGTGTCTCTCATCATCACGGTGGCTAGGAGATGTTAATTACCTCGCCTGGTGCACAGGAGGTCGTGGGTTCGATCCCGACCCTGACGCCTGCTGCTGTATATTTGGAGTTTGCGTGTCTCTCATCATCACGGTGGCTATGAGATGTTAACTACCTCGCCTGGTATACAGGAGGTCGTGGGTTCGATCCCGACCCTGACGCCGCCTGCTGCTGTATATTTGGAGTTTGCGTGTCTCTCATCATCACAGTGGCTAGGAGATGTTAACTACCTCGCCTGGTATACAGAAGGTCGTGGGTTCGATCCCGACCCTGACGCTCGCCGCTGTATATTTGGAGTTTGTGTGTCTCTCATCATCACGGTGGCTATGAGATGTTAACTACCTCGCCTGGTATACAGGAGGTCGTGGGTTTGATCCTGACCCTGACGCCTGCTGCTGCTGTATATTTGGAGTTTGCGTGTCTTTCTCCCCGGGTCGTCCGGGTTTTCCCTCTGCATTTAGAATCAACGTCACGCGTTTTTTGAGTATTTGGGCTGCGGTAAATTTCCGCACAGTAAGCCGCTTGAGCTACCATTTGTGATTGCCGCGTCGATTCTGAAAAAGAGCTACATAGCTCAGTGGGCCTTACCTGGTAAAATAAATCGGTAAGTCATATTTGAAAACAATTTTTTTTAACACGCTTCTATGAAATGTACTAGTAATGGAAGAACTCCACGACTCCAGGAAGTGGCCCCGAAGCTTGCCATAACGTCAGGGACCGTGGACAATTAGACCCAAGCAGAAAAATAACATAAAAAAGAATGTTTAAAAATAGTATTTATGAAAGAATATAGTATTGTCATCAGTATGACATAAGTATACCAAGTCTGCAGTCGATACCACATTGGGAAGTGGGTTAATATTGAGTTACAAGATTTGAGGATACGACAACAACAGACAGAGTGAGTTAATAGAAAGTGTGTAACAATACAAATGTGTTTATCAGTGTGGTGAGTGAGTCAATGGGTCGGTGGATGAGACATTGATGACATGCAGTGTGTTGAGTGCATGTGAGTGAGTAGATCGTGTGTGGCGAGCGGTCCCGCCACGCTACGAACCCAGCGGCTCGAGTTCAATTCCAGCTCATGGCAACCAACACGGGTGACGATTATATCTGAACTGGTTCTGGGCCTCCCCTAGGTTGACCCAGCCTCAAATGAGTACCTGGTGCGGTATGTACATGTTGCCACTAGGGGAGACAAAGGCGGTTGGGCGTGGTGCTGGCCTCCCACCCCGTTGTGTGTCGTGCCGGCCTTCATAGGTGCTACTCGCCAACAGCATTTGACCATATTTCACCGATCCGGGTCATTGCAGGTTTGGTTGAAGGATGGAAACACCAGAGGAACGGTTCAAATGCTCCTAACAGCAAGCCACTGATGTTATCCTGCTGTGGGTGGGCGTCGTGACCTCGTGTCAGCGGGCAATTGCAGGAGTCCGCGCCTTTATCAACAATTTTTTTTGTGTTATAGTGGAGAATTCACATTGGAAGAGCCGGAACCTTTTTTTTTCATACCGGCCCCTCAATTGGCTCCAGCCGCGTTTCCGACGGAACCGTTCCGGGTGGGACTGGGACCACCCCGCCTCCCTCCCTCCATAAACACCGCAGACTCTGAACGCGCCGATTATTAATTTGTCTTTTTTAGCGCAGCCGCTACATTGTTGTTGTTTATTGTAGACTAACCATGGAACTCTCCGACATATTCTACGTCAAGGCCGAGTACATCGAGACAGTTGAGTCGTTTACGCCTTTCGACTGGTTTCGTTTGCGTCCAAGTCAACGGGGGCCTAGGGCGAGCTAGTCCCAGGCCCCACGCCCTAAACTCTTTAAATCGTTAAAGTAAAAGAACCTTTAACGACCCATCTTCTTGGTTCTTTCGGTAAAGTCACGTAGAAGGGAAGTAATCAAATAATATGTTTTATTTTTATTATTTTATTACTTCCCTTCTACGTGACTTTACCGAAAGAACCAAGAAGATGAATCCCTGCAGTCACGAAAGAAGCTTTAAATCGAAATTTAACCTTTAACGATGCAACGTTTCGCCATCAACGCGTTAATTGATGCGCCGTTAATATACGAGCAAGTCGGTCCATGCGTGTCTGTGTTGGAAGGATATTTGTGATGTTTTTAATGGACTTGTGCCGGTGAACACCGCGGGGAGCGGTGGGGCAGCGGTTAGCGCCACGCTGCGCTACGAACCCGGCGAGCCGAGTTCGATTCCCACTTGTGGTCAACACCACCGGTGATCAATATCTTAATGGGTCCTGCGCCTCCCCTAGGTCGACTCGGCCTCAAATGAGTGCCTGGTACAGGTGTGTAAACATCGCCACTGGGGAGACAAAGGCGGCCGGGCGTGGTGCTGGCCACCCACATAGCTGTCAACCCACACGGTTTACCCCGTATTCTTGTGCAGGGAAATTTAGTTTCACGTCCATACGTTTATATACGGGCAGCAAAAAAGTGTCTTTGTGTTTCTCTCCTTGTGATGGGACTTTGTAGACTGGGCGTTGAGATTTATAAGCTGCACGGGGTGACCAATACCGTCTGTCATAAGGTGGGGCACTGATAAGGGATTGACAGGTACGTAGTAGTGTAGTGTGTGGTAGTATATAGTGTAGTGTATAGTGTATATAGTAGTGTATAGTAGTATATAGTGTAGTGTATAGTAGTGGAGTGTATAGTGTATATAGTAGTGTATAGTAGTATATAGTGTAGTGTATAGTAGTATATAGTGTAGTGTATAGTGTAGTGTATAGTAGTATATAGTAGTGTAGTGTATAGTGTAGTGTATAGTAGTGTAGTGTATAGTAGTGTAGTGTATAGTAGTATATAGTGTAGTGTATAGTAGTGTATAGTAGTGGAGTGTATAGTAGTGTAGTGTGTAGTGTATAGTGTAGTGTATAGTAGTGTAGTGTATAGTAGTGTAGTGTATAATAGTGGAGTGTATAGTAGTGGAGTGTATAGTAGTGTATAGTAGTGTAGTGTATAGTAATATATAGTAGTGTAGTGTATAGTAGTATATAGTGTAGTGTATAGTAGTATATAGTGTAGTGTATAGTAGTGTATAGTGTAGTGTATAGTAGTGTATAATAGTGGAGTGTATAGTATATTGTATATTTTAGTATGAACGTTGAGATTTATAAGCGGCACGGGGTGACCAATACGGTCTGAATTTGTCTTAACAAGTCGGGGCGCTGACAAGGGGTTGAGAGGCGTGTGAGAGCCTCCCCCACGCCGTGTCAGTCGCGACGGAGGGTTTGGCCAAACTTGGCCACGCCGGTCAGTGCGGGTCGATGGAACGCCGGAACCAGGGCCCGTTCACATGTCGCTCGCCTCTGCAATGTGGTCGCGAATCGAACTTAGGTGGCCGAGTTCGTAGCGCTGCAGGATTCACGTCCTTCATTTAACCAGCTGAGATGACATTGAGATTCTTTGAATCAGGTGAGATCCATTGAGATGAATTACTCACATCAGTCTCTTCAAAATATTTCGGCTCAAGCAAGTGCGAGGTTCCATTCATCTCCGTCGATATCCTGTCGCCGGCGGTGGAAATTCCACATTGCCATGGCGGGGCCCAGTCCATTTCTCCTCGCGCTAACCCCCGTTCTCTCTCGCCAGGCCTCGGGAAACAAAGTGAGTCGACAGTCCGTGCTGTGCGGGAGCCAGAATATAGTCCTGAATGGCAAGGTGAGTCTGTAGCGACTTCATCCAGCAGTGGACTGAGCGTGGCTGATTATGGTGAATTCCACAGACAATCAAGCATTGGTCTCACACATAGCCCTGAAGCTAACGCTAATGGTACAACAGAAGAACTCGCACCAAGACGCGCACTAATACCAGCACACGGCTTAGTCGTCTGTTGCAGAGGTTCAGGGTTCATATCCAGCAGCCGCCCTGGTTATTACCGCCGTAATACCACGTGCCTTTCTGTTCAAAAGTGGACGGTAAAGAGTGGGCCGCTGTGCACCGGTGTCGGGCTCCAGATTTGCTCAAGTAGAAAATTACACCGCAGTGTATTCAATGACGATTGTACAGATAAACCATCGCCCCCCCACCCCTCTACTGGTGGACTAATGCCCCAGGTCCCTCTTGCAAATGAGACTCAACCTGGTCTCTTGAAACAAAATAAACTTGAACACTATTACAACAACACCCGCCATTCACCAATAATAGACGGTGACGCCACCACGGCGTCGAAGACTCACTGACAGGAGGTCACGGGACAGACCCAGCAGGTGCCACGGGTTGACTGACTGAGATGACTGGCCGATGCACCACCTGTGCCCCCTACTGTGCCAACTTGCTGTGCTTTAGCCACCTGGCGCTCCGCTCGTTGTTGTGAGCGTCGCTCCTCCGCCCTCCGTTGTTGTTGGAGGGCGACTGCCTCCAACTGCCCAGTAGCGTCCTTTACGAGCCTCCTCCACATGAGGCCGATCTTGATCCCACTGGGACCAGTCTTCGGCAAGTCCACTCAGCTCCACGTCCTCCTGTACCGCATCAGTCCAACTCTTCTCCAACCCATGTTGTGCCTGTTTAGCCCCCTCTATCCAGCCAAACAAAAGCTGCTTGGGCATGCGGTGGCTGGGCATGTGGGCTACATAACCCAGTGTATTCCACTGTAGTGTTATCGTGGAATGCACTCTTGACACGAATACGTTAGCAGTAACACTACCGCTCGTACTAACACTAGTACTGTTAGTAGCATGAGTATTAACACTCGCACTATCACCCGATAGCATCATAATGAGAAGATTATATTTGTCACCAATTAAAACCTGTGAAGCTAAAAAGCTCTTTTTTTATCAAGGGGCGACTTGGCCGGCAGACGACATTCAAGCGTTCCACAATTACAGATTTAAAAAAAACACGCAATAATGATAGCAATTATGTTATAAAATTACTTTCACACTCAAAATTTAGTGATTTTAATAATAGACTCGCTTTAAACAAAGGGCAGAGGTGGCAGAATGCAGATGCTGAGAGACGAAACTCAGGCGGTTCCACCGACTCTGGGGCAGCAGCGACATGAAATGCTTTGGATCCAAATTGTCTTCGAAATCTGGGAACTACGAACAGCAGCGTTCTTCTTTCAGCGAGGGTTGGGGGCCACTTTCGCCGATAAGACATCGTCAGTGTGAGGAGGGCCGCCACACATTGTAAACCATTGGGGTGTTTGTGACAGCAACACGATGACGATGATGATGATGATGACGGTGGTGGGGTGTTTTCACTCTTTGTGTATTGTCGGGGACCGCCCATCAGGGTCTGCCAGTGGCCCCCGGGCCTTGCAATGAACAACACCGGATTAATAGACGTGAGCACGGTGAGTCTACAACGCTCGTACTGTGCCCCTGACCGTGCATTGGTCTCCGCTGTCTCAGACGATCGTGATGAACGACTGCATCATCCGCGGCGACCTGGCGAACGTGCGAGTCGGGCGACATTGCGTCATCAAGAGCCGCAGCGTCATCCGCCCGCCGTTCAAGAAGTTCAGCAAGGGGTGCCTTGCTCACTTCTCACGCCATCGCCACCGTCGTTGTCGTCGTCATCGTCATTACCATCGTGGTTACCGTCATCACCACCATCACCACCGCCATCGTCATTACCAGCATGATTACCGTCACCCCCACCATCATCATCAACCCCGTCATCATTACCATCGTCACCACCGTCATCGTCATTACCATCATGTTTACCATCACCACCACCGTCATGATTACCATCACCACCACCGTCATGATTACCATCACCACCACCATCGTCACCACAGTCACCACCGTCATCGTGATTACCTTCACAACCATTATCATCGCCACCATCACCACCGTCATTGCAATCATGATTACCTTCACCATCACCACTGTCATCATGATTACCGTCACTACCATTATCATCACCACCATCACCACTGTCATCGTCGTTACCATCATGATTACCGTCACCACCACGATCATCATGATTACCATCACCATTATTGCCACCATCACCACTGTCATCATTACCATCATGGTTACCGTCAACACCACCATCACCACCGTCATCAATGTTTACCATCGTCACCATTATCGCCACCATCACCACCGTCATCATTAGCATCATGATTACCGTCACGACCATCATCACCATAATCAACGGGTGAGACCTGCACGCTACACACATCGTCGTCATCATCACCACCAACATCATCACGGTGTGAGATTCACACATACTACACACATCAACACCACGATCATCATTGTCGTAATTACCATTATTACCATCATTATTACCATCATTATTACCATCATTATTACCATCACCATCATCCAGGGGTGAGACACATTACACATCATCACCACCACCATCACCACCACCATCATCACCATCATCTACGCATCACAGGGGGATCGTTGTCTGTAAGTGTAGAGCGTATACGTGTATACCCAGCGTCTGTGCGTGTGAACGCTGCGCTACGAACCCGGCGACCCGAGTTTGATTCCCGCTCACGGTCAACACCAGTGACAATTATCTGAATCGGGTGCTACTTGCTCACAGAACTTGCCCCAAAAGTCTGTCAAGGCTACACAGGAGGGGGGGGGGGGACCTTTACCTTTGTGCGCTCCTCAGGGTCGCGTTCTTCCCTCTGCACATCGGGGACCACGTGTTCATCGAGGAGGACTGCGTCGTCAGCGCCGCGCAGATCGGATCGTACGTCCACATCGGCAAGAACTGCGTCATCGTGAGTGCTCGCACCCTCTGCACGGCGACGACAGGGTTGGATGGTCGGCGGGGGGCTCAGGCGGGGGGCCCCTTTTGGAGCGCTCCACGTCTCGTAGGCGTAGAGGGAGGGGAGGGGCAGGCACGAGTGTGGCCGAGACAAAGGTCCGGGTTGCTTTGCCTTGGAGCGACGGGCCCAGGTAGCTTGCGCACAGCGACGTTCGGCGTCTGATGAAAAGATAATGCCGCTGCGACTGATTCGAAGCAAAACCTCGGCTGCTGAACCGGGTCCGGTCGTAAAAACACACTGCCCAAGTGCGGAGAACTCCTCCACTCACCGGACAACTGCCCTGCTCTCTCCGAAGAGAAAGATCTCCTGTGTAAGTAACCTTCAACAGACCATAGAGGCGAGTGCCGTTTGCGAGTAGCAGCACCTGCGTACTGTGGCACATGAGGGGGGGGGGTGGCCAGCACCACGCCCGGCCGCCTTTGTCACCCAAGTGGCCATGTTTACTACACGCCGCACCGGTTATACCGAAAGAACCAAGAAGACGGGTATACTCACTCGCACACACACACGTACTCTCACACACACGTACTCACACACATACTATCGCACACACACACGTACTCTCACATACACACACGCACACACACACGTACTCTCACACACACACGTACTCTCACACACACGTACTGTCACACACACGTACTCTCACACACACACACGTACTCTCATACACACACACACGTACTCTCACACACACACACGTACTCTCACATACACACACACACGTACTCTCACACACACGTACTGTCACACACACGTACTCTCACACACACACACACATACTCTCATACACACACACGTACTCTCACACACGTACTCTCACATACACACACACACGTACTCTCACACACACGTACTCACATACACAAGTACTCTCACACAGTACTCTCACACACACGTACTCTCACACACACGTACTCTCACATACACACACACGTACTCTCACACACGTACTCTCACATACACACACACACGTACTCTCACACACACGTACTCACATACACAAGTACTCTCACACAGTACTCTCACACACACGTACTCTCACACACACGTACTCTCACATACACACACACACATGCAGTGTAATAACGCGGGCTGATGACGGGAAGGGGTATTGACAGCAGGGGGCAGTAAACACGTCAGCAGGAGGAGATCAAAAGGGACGCCCAGGACAGGGGTCCATCTGAAAGCCGAGAACCCGCGAGTAGCTTCTAGAAGGTGGGCGTGGCTAGTGGGGGGGAGGCGAGTCCACACCAGGAGGATGAGAGGGGGCCCGGGATGGGGGCTCGGGGCAGTTGCTGGGAGTGGACCCCCTCGCCGTGTCGCTGTTCGTCACCTTCGTCGCCGCCGTCTCGACCGCCTGAAGACGCCGCTAGCTCGACGGCCTGTCAACTGCACTAGCTCGGCAGTGCCGTCAAGAGACGGGTGTGTGACTGGCGTGGAAGCACGTGGGGCGTCTGTCGTTCCCTGACATGTGGGAATAAAGAAGGTGTCTTAAGAACTACGTAGTGAGTCACTACACATGTACTCACACACACACACGTACTTGCACACTGCAGACCAGGGGGCGACCGTACAAACCCGACGCAGAAAGGCACACCCTGGCCTGGAACCGAACCCGGGCGCCGCTCGCTGTGTGACTGTGTGTGACTGTGTGTGACTGTGTGTGTGACTGTGTGTGGCTGTGTGTGACTGTGTGTGACTGTGTGTGACTGTGTGTGACTGTGTGTGTGACTGTGTGTGACTGTGTGTGACTGTGTGTGTGACTGTGTGTGACTGTGTGTGACTGTGTGCGGCTGTGTGTGGCTGTGTGTGACTGTGTGTGACTGTGTGTGACTGTGTGTGGCTGTGTGCGACTGTGTGCGACTGTGTGTGACTGTGTGTGACTGTGTGTGACTGTGTGTGACTGTGTGTGGCTGTGTGCGACTGTGTGCGACTGTGTGCGACTGTGTGCGACTGTGTGCGACTGTGTGCGACTGTGTGCGGCTGTGTGCGACTGTGTGCGACTGTGTGCGACTGTGTGCGACTGTGTGTGTGTGACTGTGTGTGTGCGACTGTGCGTCTGTGTGTGACTGTGTGCGGCTGTGTGCGGCTGTGTGCGGCTGTGTGCGGCTGCGTGCGTCTGCGTGCGTCTGTGTGCGGCTGTGTGCGTCTGTGTGCGACTGTGTGTGACTCTGTGCGGCTGTGTGGGACTTGTGTGGCTGTGTGTGACTGTGTGTTACTGCGTGTGACTGTGTGTTCCTGCGTGTGACTGTGTGTGGTGCAGGGCAGGCGCTGCGTGCTCAAGGACTGCTGCCGCATCGAGGATGGGACGGTGCTGCCGCCGGAGACGGTGGTGCCTCCCTTCACCAGCTTCTCCGGGTCCCCCGGTGAGTGCGGGCGAGCGTCTTGGCCTTCACTCGCGCAGCCGATGCAAACTCTCAACTGTAATAAGTAATATTTAAAAATACTTTTTTTTAAACACACTTTAATGAAATGTACCGTACTCGTAATGGCAGAACTCTACGACTCCAGGAAGTGGCCCCGAGTCTTGCCATAACGTAAGGGACCGTGGCGATTTACAGCCATCGTCAGTTGAGCGTGGACAATTAGACCCAAGCCAAAACATAAGATATAAAAAAGATTGTTTAAAAATAGACTTTTTTTATGACAGAATATCGTATTGTCATCAGTATGACATAAGTATATCAAGTTTGCAGTCGATACCACATTGGGAAGTGGGTTAAGGTTACAAGATTTGAGGATACGACAACAACAGACAGAGTGAGTTAAATAAAAGCTTATAAAAATAAATCGACTCTCAACTATCTTTTTATTTTACCGGTGTAAAGAGCCGAAAACAACAGAGACCACTCGCCGGACGCGGTGCGCGCGCAAACGGACGGTCGGCAATTGCGCCAGGGCCTCTGATCGGTGCAGAGAGGCCTTTAACGAGGATTGGGTTTGGGCCGGAGAGTTGAACCGATTGGACGAGAAATGCGAGTGTAAAAGGCGGGGAAACGAGGGTGGACCGTCGGCGGAGACGGTGGACAACCATTAGGAGGAGGAAGAGGAGGACGAGGGTAGTGGGGGTGAGCGAACACTGAGAGAGAGGGGGTGGGGGCTCGAGGGGAAGGAGGGACGCTTGGAGAGAGGACGAAGTCGGAGCATCGAGAGCCAAAGCCTGGGCCTAGAAATCGCGTTGCTGTGCCCACAGTAGTTTCAAGTTTCATGTATTAGGTGTAGCCCTGTGAGCCATGCGGCTCTTGAGTCGGGTGCAACCGCAACAAACAAAAACATGAACGGAGAAGATCTTCAAGCGACGACGCGCAACAGAAACATCCTGGCATAAACCAGCAAATCTTCCAGCGGAAAAAAACCCGCCGTATTACAACGCCGTGTGCAAAAATCCCCGTGTGATGCAAGATTAATGAAGGCTGTTAGCAAAGCGAGGGCGTGTGTCGGCGTCACTCCACCAGGTGAGGCCCCGCTGAGCTACGGAGCTGTCTTGTCAGAAGCGGCCTGGCGGCTTCTTGTCGTGTGGACATTTACAGCCGCCACTCTCAACGCGCGACGTTGATTCTCAATTGTGGAGCGGAAAAACCCGAGGACCCGGAGAGAAATCCACGCGACCTAGGGGCGAGAGAGACACGCAGACTCCAAATGTACAGCAGGCATCAGGGTCGGGATCGAACCCACGACCTCCTGCATACCAGGCGAGGTGGTGAACATCTCGCCACATTGACGCCCTGCAGAAGGCTACACAGGGGATGGGTTAACTCATCCCATCATCTGTCCCTCCGAGGTGGATAAAATGAGAACCATTAAAACAATAAGTACCGGGTCAACCGTGGTCGCTCGTACGGCTGCTCGTGTCGATGCAGAGCCACGACTCCAGTGTCAGATTCAGGTGGTCAGGCCAGATAACCGCGTCAGGAGCAATCGGAGTAGTGAGTGTATCGTCATCATCATCGTCGTTGTCGTCGTCGCTGTGATGTCTTCTTCGTGGATCTGGGCATTGCGTCGTTATATAAGAGCGGGTGCGAGTGTGTGTGTGTGTGCGCGCGTCCTAGCTTAACGTCGTTTATGTAGCGCCCGGAGCATTAGGAACGATACAGCGCGCGCGTGCGACTTGTGTGGTGGTGAAGATGAGGGGGATTTAAATAGATGAGGGGAAGTAGTGGGGCGAAATGTGTGATGCGTGAATTGGGTAAAAGAAAAATTGATGAGAGCAAATGATGACGAATGGATCGGATGGATGGGGAATGATGCGCTACAAACCCGGCGACCCAAGTTCGATTCCCACTTGTGGTCAACACCGTTGATGAATATCTTAATCGGTCCTGGGCCTCCTTTAGGTTGAGTACCTGGTGCTGTGTAGTAAACATCGCCACTCGGGAGACAAAGGCGGCCAGGCGTGGTGCTGGCCACCCACCCCCTCGTGTGCCACAGTGCCGGCCTTCATAGGTGCTGCTGCTACTCGCTAACAGCACTTGCCCCAAATAGATGTAAAGTGTATACGGGGGATCTTTGTCTTTGAATCAGGACTGTGCACCGGGGAGCTACCTGAATGCACACAGGACCTGATGATGGACGTGACCAAGAGCTACTACCAGAGGTTCCTGCCCATCTCACAGGTCAACTGAGAAGAGGTGAATGTCACCCTCGTCGTCAGCATCGTCATTGTCGGCTCATCGTCATTGTCATCATCTCCATTGTCGGCTCATCATCACCGTCATCGTCATTGTCATCATCAGCGTCATTGTCATCATCACCGTCCTTGTCGTCGTCATCATCATTGTCGGCTCATCATCATTGTCATCGTCATCACCGTTGTCGTCGTCGTCGTCGTCATCGTTGTCATTGTCGGCTCATCATCACTGTTGTTGTCGTCGTCGTCGTCGTCGTCGTCATTGTCGGCTCATCGTCGTCATCGTCATTGTCATCATCATCTCCATTGTCGGCTCATCATCACAGTTGTCGTCGTCATCATCGTCATTGTCGGCTCATCGTCGTCGTCGTCATTGTCATCATCACCGTCCTTGTCATCGTCGTCGTCGTCATCGTTGGCTTTATCATCATTGTCATCGTCGTCATCGTTGGCTCATCATCACCACCATCATCGTCATCATCATCACCGTCAGCAGTAGCATCAGTTTCAACAGCAGCTGCAGCAGTAACTGCAACGTTGTCAACATCATCTCCATCTCATCGTGGCTGGCATCATCAGCATCATCACCACATAAGCGGTGGCATCAGCGGCGGACATCGCACAAGCAGCAGAGTCATCATTCGCAGCAGTGATCGTAGCAACAGTGACATCATCATCAGCAGCATTTCCATAATCGGCAGCAGCAGCATCAGCAGCCACATGATTTACCTTCAGTGGCATTACCATCATCATTACCAACATCATCAGCAGTAGTAACAACATCTTCATCATCATTCATAATAAAGGTTTATTATGGATAATATTGGTCGCGAAAGCCTACGTGTTAATCTTCATCATCAGTTAATGCAACATCATCACTGGCATCATCATCATCATCATCACACTTTTGTTGATGTTGTTACAGTTGTAGTTTACGTAGTGATATCTATGAGAGGAGGACCCCTTTTGCCAGAATCAAAAATGATGAAAAATAAGAATAGGTGTACCTTTTCTGGCAATAATAAAACAGGAGTTGTTTTAAGATGTTCGAACACCAAATCAATACAATGTTTGCATGGTCACCACAAGTACTTTGTGTGATTAATGCAGTAAGTTGATTCTTTGCAAAATGTTTCTATTTTCCGTTTGAACATCTTAACACAACTCCTGTTTCATTGCCAGAAAGGCTAAGCACTTATTCTTATTTTTGACACATGCTCTGATAAAAAAATGATGCATTCTCTTTGAAACTGATGGGCCTATCCCAGTGACGGCAGCCTTCCTGATGGCTTCGTCTCACCAGCGGTGTTAGACCAGAGGACACCGCCAAAAGGCGAACAGCAACGAAGACAAATACCTGAGCGGCAATAGCTGGGCCTGAGCGGCTTTATCTATGGCGGGGGGGACCCCTTTTGCGAGCATCAAAAATGATGATGTAAGAACAGGGGCTTCCTATTTCTCGCAGTTGGTGTCTGTTTGGCGTTAGAACATCTGAACACTTGTGTTGCTCTTGCCAGGAAGGATCAAAGCCGATTCCTTATTTACACACAGTGACGTTGGTCAGAATAATCACGATGCAGCTGATGATGATGTCAACTTTTAGAAATTTTTTATGTTTTGTCCGTTTTTGTTTTGCAGGAACTTGGACTGTTAGCCTTTTTGTTGCGTTCAACTCGAAGAAAACATCTCCGCGTAAAATGGTCGCAAGAGTCAACTCTCGATTATCATTTGGCGCATTGGTGGTGGGGGGGTGGGGGCGGTGGCAGGGGGGGTAAGAGTGGCACGGCTCAAACGTAAACCACGGATAATGCAAAGTGCATGTAAATGACGATATGAACCGTATTCATATTGATTAGCGATGGGTGGAGTTGTGGGGGGGGGGCAGACTGTAACCACGTCTGTTTTTATTGCTTCTATAAAGTAGCTGTTGGATTACTTTGTCAGCATGACCCCCCCCCCCCCCTGACGAGCGAGGAGTGGCGAGCAATCGCTTCAATTGCCGACGAGTTGGCGGTCGCGTGGCCCCCACCCACTGCCTCTGACCATCCACCAGTGAGGAGCGGATCTACTCAACTGGTTTCCTTAACCGACTTGGTCGTGATCCCATGTCCACCCACCGCCTCTGACCGTCTACGAGTGAGGAGTGGAGCTACTCAACTGGTGTCCGTGCGGGTTGCGTGGCAACTCGGGTGTCGAGGAAGCCCCGACGGGTGAGGAGCGGCGAATAATGAAACCGGCGCGCACTTCAAGACGTTTTTATTTATTTTTGTTCGCAACATTTCACCCGCAAGCCGGACATCGTCGAGAACAACAACAACAATTCTGCCAGTCGAGAGTTCACTTGTGGAGGGAGAGACGCACTGCTCCTGCCAGCGGGAATGTGGAATTTACAAGGTTCTTTCACGATTCGCCGTTGACTCGTTCAACGAATTGTCACGGTTCCCGACTGGCAACCTCATCGGCAGCGGCAACGCCATCACCGCCATCACCAGCAGCATCAGCATCATCATCGTACGCTTAGTGATGTCGACGGTTGTAGATTATGTTGATCTTGATGGTAATTATGTATGTTTGTTGAACTTCTTTCGCACTTTACGTAGCCAACCGTGCTAATCGGAGATGCGGGGGAAGGACAACAAACTATGGGTCTCTGTGTGAGTCTGTGGGTCGCTGTGTGAGTCTGTGGGTCTCTGTGTGAGTCTGCGGGTCTCTGTGTGAGTCTGGGGGTCTCTGTGTGAGTCTGCGGGTCTCTGTGTGAGTCTGCGGGTCTCTGTGTGAGTCTGCGGGTCTCTGTGTGAGTCTGCGGGTCTCTGTGTGAGTCTGCGGGTCTCTGTGTGAGTCTGTGGGTCTCTGTGTGAGTCTGCGGGTCTCTGTGTGAGTCTGCGGGTCTCTGTGTGAGTATGGGTCTCTGCGTGAGTCTGTGGGTCTCTGCGTGAGTCTGTGGGTCTCTGCGTGAGTCTGTGGGTCTCTGCGTGAGTCTGTGGGTCTCTGCGTGAGTCTGTGGGTCTCTGCGTGAGTCTGTGGGTCTCTGCGTGAGTCTGTGGGTCTCTGCGTGAGTCTGTGGGTCTCTGCGTGAGTCTGTGCGTCTCTGTGTGAGTCTGTGGGTCTCTGTGTGAGTCTGGGTCTCTGTGTGAGTCTGCGGGTCTCTGTGTGAGTCTGTGCGTCTCTGTGTGAGTCTGTGGGTCTCTGTGTGAGTCTGCGGGTCTCTGTGTGAGTCTGTGGGTCTCTGTGTGAGTCTGCGGGTCTCTGTGTGAGTCTGTGGGTCTCTGTGTGAGTCTGTGGGTCTCTGTGTGAGTCTGCGGGTCTCTGTGTGAGTCTGCGGGTCTCTGTGTGAGTCTGTAGGTCTCTGTGTGAGTCTGTGGGTCTCTGTGTGAGTCTGTGTGTCTCTGTGTGAGTCTGTGGGTCTCTGTGTGAGTAGTCGATGGGTCTTTGTGTGAGTCTGTGGGTCTCTGCGTGAGTTTGTGGGTCTCTCTGTGTGAGTCTGTGGGACTCTGTGAGAGTAGTCTATGGGTCTCTGTGTGAGTAGTCTATGGGTCTCTGTGAGTGTATCAGCCTACTGCGGTTGTTGCCCATCTGAGCACTCTCCTTGCTCCGACGAGATCGGACGAACGGAACGAGTGAGTGCTTGCAAAATCTAAATGACTGTCCAGCAGCGTGGAGTTATGATGCAGCTACTTATGATGCTGCTGATGATGATAACGATGATGCTGGTAGTAAAGATGTCGATGCTAACTTTTGACCAATATAGAGTCTTTCTCGTTTTCAGCCGTCTCTTCTGTACCGTTCCCTCGATTTCCCCGGCTCCTTTTGTCCAAGTTGCGGCCGCTCCGCGCTACGTCACGGCAGTGTGCGGCGACCGGCAGCACGGAGATTTTTTTTTGCGTCCACCGTGGACGATCGATTCCGCACTCTGTCAATCGAGCCGTGGGTAACGTCGACCACCACGTGCCCCCCACGAACGCGATAACGAAGACGACCGCCGCTGCCGATTTTCTGTACAAACCACAAATCTGTCTATCGCCTGATGATGCCGGTTGTAATTACTGGCGAAACGTTGTACTCGGATTGTAAATGTTGTGGCTTTGCTCTCCAACACACTGGTGGCGATGTACTAGTACTGAATTGGCATGTTTTGTTTACGCGACAAACCTTACTAAATGGCCGTGTCGGGTGGTGGCGGGTTTAATGACATTTACGCGATCTAACTAAAAATAACCCTCCATTATGAAAGAAAGCATCACGATTAAACACTCCAACGGCATCAGATGTTCGGGATCTTGCCTCTCATCTCGCTCGGTGCACCACACGAGTCACATGGGTTTGAGTTTTATCGGCGGCGGCATCGTATCATTTGCGCCAAACCGCATCTCGCAATCGCCGAGGAACCTCCGGCAGAGCTGGAAGGCAGCAGCAGCAGCAGACAAAGAGCTTCATAGCTCATCGGATTCTGATTCTAGATTTGAAGCTTTCGTGACTGCAAGGATTCATACTCTTAGGTTTTTTTGGTAAAGTCACGTAGGTAACAGTAAATCTTGCTGTGACGGTCCCACCTGATGACGGAGACTTGTGTTGCCTCCGAAACGTCAATTTTTATTTCTATTAATATTGCAGTCCTCTGTCTTCATTCAGGAGTTTGCGCGTCTCTCTCTCCCCGTCGTCTCGTGCATTGTTTTCTCCGGATCCTCCGGTTTTTCCCACCGCATTTAGAAACAACGTCGCCCATGGTCAGATTATTGAGCTGCTATGGATGTCCACCTGATGACGAGAAGCCGCCACTTCGTTGAGCTATCGTTTGTGATGGTCAAGTCACTTCTGAACAGAAGCGAATAGCTCCGTGGGCTTTACCTGCTAAAATAAACACAGTTATGCGATTTAAAAGTATGGCCTTTTTGCCAGTATCAGTGAAAAAAATACAAGACGAGGTTTTACCCTTTCTGCCAATAAAACAGGAGGAGTTGAGATGTTCAAACACCAAATAGAAACCTTGTGGTTCATGAGAACTTGATTCCCTGCAAAAGGTGTCTTTGGTGTGTAAACATCTTAGCACCTTGTTTTTATTGCCAGAAAGGGTAACAGCTATTATTATTATTACTATTTAATCATAGTTATGCGATTTGTTTACCTTTCCAACACTTTGCACGCCTCTCGTCTTCTGTTGCTGTCACCTTCTGACCCCGTGCCCCGACTGGACATGCGTGAAACAAGAGCTTCACAGCTCATCGGCTTTATCCTGCGGTACAAATAAACGTTCTGATTAGGACGTGTTCGGTCAATTCACGAGTGTCTGCAGGTGTGGTGAAACCGGAGCACGGGGAGAAACCCCATGCCTTGCACGAGAGGGGAGGGGGAAACGCTCTATCCCCCTTCACGGTGGAACAGATGGAGATTAGTCCACATTTTTTAAATCCTTTATATTAAGTTCGCAAGCTTGCTTGCTTGCGTGCTTGCGTGCTTGCATGCTTGCTTGCTTGCGACCGTGCAAATCTTTCGGTCGTTTTTTAACCCACTTCCCGTGATCCAATCGAGCTGACATTTTGCACACAGACTCGTGCGAGACAATTTATGTTCGTGAAAAATGTTTTCCAAAATTTTACACTGTTTAGGGAAAACAAATTAACTGTTTAATTAGCAATTGCTTAATACTGGCAGACAATCATCTGACCCATAGGTGGCAGCCATCTCAAGCCAGAGGACGAGAGGACTCTAGCCGCCACGCATATAAAGGATTTATAGTGAAAAACTTTGTTTTTACGGGTTATACTTATTTCCGTACCGCGTTCATGCTGGGCCAGGGTACCCACGACTCGTCGACTTCCACGGCGAAGGGAGTTTTGCAACAACATCCCTGCGTGATCCACCTCCGCAGTGCTGGGTCACAGGGTAGCCACGCGCATAGCCACCACCGCCCATGAGCTATTGCGTGATGTTTGTGATGTTGCATTTTTTTGTTTACATTCAAATATCGGCAAGTTATTTACTCAATTAATATAAAAACGAACTTACTGTCCTTCATTATCGACAATATTTGTCATTCATTAAAACTTACATTTGTTGCACATTAAAATGACTGCTTATGAACATTCGACTTACAAACTTCCAGAGATACGAACAAACATGTCCGCATGTCCAGTTGCCTGTTCGGACCGAGTCGTAAGATTAACCGCCACGCAATAGATGGATGTGGTGGCATCTACAACAGCTGCAGAATGTGAAGAACCAGTGGCATCTCCATCTACAGAACGTGAAGAACCAGTGGCATCTACATCTGCAGAACGTGAAAAACCAGTGGCATCTACAGAACGTGAAGAACCAGTGGCATCTACATCTGCAGAACGTGAAGAACCAGTGGCATCTACATCTGCAGAACGTGAAGAACCAGTGGCATCTACATCTGCAGAAGGTGAAGAACCAGTGGCATCTACAGAACGTGAAGACCCAGTGGCATCTACATCTGCAGAACGTGAATAACCAGTGGCATCTACATCTGCAGAACGTGAAGAACCAGTGGCATCTACATCTGCAGAACACGAAGAGCCAGTGGCATCTCCATCTACAGAACGTGAAGAACCAGTGGCATCTACATCTACAGAACGTGAAGAACCAGTGGCATCTACATCTGCAGAACATGAAGAACCAGTGGCGTCTACATCTGCAGAACATGAAGAACCAGTGGCGTCTATATCTGCAGAACGTGAAGAACCAGTGGCATCTACATCTGCAGAACATGAAGAACCAGTGGCATCTGCAGAAGGTTAAGAACCAGTGGCATCTACATCTACAGAACGTGAAAAACCAGTGGCGTCTACATCTGCAGAACATGAAGAACCAGTGGCATCTACATCTGCAGAACGTGAAGAACCAGTGGCATCTACATCTGCAGAACGTGAAGAACCAGTGGCATCTACAGAACGTGAATAACCAGTGGCATCTAGGTCTGCAGAACGTGAAGAACCAGTGGCATCTACACCTGCAGAACGTGAAGAACCATTGGCATCTACATCTGCAGAACGTGAAGAACCAGTGGAATCTGCAGAACGTGAAGAACCAGTGGCATCTACATCTACAGAACGTGAAGAACCAGTGGCATCTACATCTGCAGAATATGAAGAACCAGTGGCATCTACATCTGCAGAATGTGAAGAACCAGTGGCATCTACATCTGCTGAATATGAAGAACCAGTGGCATCTACATCTGCAGAATGTGAAGAACCAGTGGCATCTACATCTGCAGAACGTGAAGAACCAGTGGCATCTACATCTGCAGAACGTGAAGAACCAGTGGCATCTACATCTACAGAACGTGAAGAACCAGTGGCATCTACATCTACAGAACGTGAAGAACCAGTGGCATCTACATCTGCAGAATATGAAGAACCAGTGGCATCTACATCTGCAGAACATGAAGAACCAGTGGCATCTACATCTGCAGAACGTGAAGAACCAGTGGCATCTACATCTTCAGAACGTGATGAACCAGTGGCATCTACACCTGCAGAACGTGAAGAACCAGTGGCATCTCCATCTGCAGAACGTGACGAACCAGCGGCATCTACATCTGCAGAACCTGAAGAACCAGTGGCATCTACAGATCGTGAAGAACCAGTGGCATCTACATCTGCAGAACGTGAAGAACCAGTGGCATCTACATCTGCAGAATGTGAAGAACCAGTGGCATCTACATCTGCAGAACGTGAAGAACCAGTGACATCTACATCTGCAGAACGTGAAGAACCAGTGGCATCTACATCTGCAGAACGTGAAGAACCAGTGGCATCTACATCTACAGAACGTGAAGAAACAGTGGCATCTACATCTACAGAACGTGAAGAACCAGTGGCATCTACATCTGCAGAATATGAAGAACCAGTGGCATCTACATCTGCAGAATGTGAAGAACCAGTGGCATCTACATCTGCAGAACGTGAAGAACCAGTGGCATCTACATCTACAGAATGTGAAGAACCAGTGGCATCTACATCTGCAGAATATGAAGAACCAGTGACATCTACATCTGCAGAACGTGAAGAACCAGTGGCATCTACATCTGCTGAATATGAAGAACCAGTGGCATCTACATCTGCAGAATGTGAAAAACCAGTGGCATCTACATCTGCAGAACGTGAAGAACCAGTGGCATCTACATCTGCAGAACGTGAAGAACCAGTGGCATCTACATCTACAGAACGTGAAGAACCAGTGGCATCTACATCTACAGAACGTGAAGAACCAGTGGCATCTACATCTGCAGAATATAAAGAACCAGTGGCATCTACATCTACAGAATGTGAAGAACCAGTGGCATCTACATCTGCAGAACGTGAAGAACCAGTGGCATCTACATCTGCAGAACGTGAAGAACCAGTGGCATCTACATCTTCAGAACGTGATGAACCAGTGGCATTTACACCTGCAGAACGTGAAGAACCAGTGGCATCTCCATCTGCAGAACGTGAAGAACCAGCGGCATCTACATCTGCAGAACCTGAAGAACCAGTGGCATCTACAGATCGTGAAGAACCAGTGGCATCTACATCTGCAGAACGTGAAGAACCAGTGGCATCTACATCTGCAAAATGTGAAGAACCAGTGGCATCTACATCTGCAGAACGTGAAGAACCAGTGACATCTACATCTGCAGAACGTGAAGAACCAGTGGCATCTACATCTGCAGAACGTGAAGAACCAGTGGCATCTACATCTACAGAACGTGAAGAACCAGTGGCATCTACATCTGCAGAACGTGAAAAACCAGTGGCATCTACATCTACAGAACGTGAAGAACCAGTGGCATCTACATCTGCAGAACGTGAAGAACCAGTGGCATCTACGTCTGCAGGAGATTATACAACTTTTAAAGCCACTCCCCATGTTTAGTGTACAACGTGTTGGAATCGACGGGAGCAAATTTGGACTTACGAACAGATTTCTGGGGAACTTAACTTGTTCGTAAGTAGAGGAGTCCCTGAATGTTTCATAATCAAGAATATGGCATTTACAGGGTCACCTTTAGCATCATTTTTCTCAAAAACTGCAAGGTTGTGTGCGGAGAACTTTTTCCTAAGGAATCTCTATATATTTATGATGTTAAATATTAAAAAAGTAGGTAGTGCCCCACTTGGTGGAACGAAACCCTATTTCTAGGCCTCTTTTAGGCTACCGACAGCGGCCTAATGGCATTTACATCGTCAAATTGTTGAGTGCTGACGACGATACGCCAGTGCAGCGAGGCCGGAACAAAAACACCCGCGGGCGTTTGTTTGCCCGGAACCTTCCCTCACTCACGCGGGGGACACCCAACTTCCGGTGGCCCACCGGAAGTCGCCGCCAACATGGCCGCGCCCATAGGAGCGTGGTGGCGACTTTAAAGTTCTCCGCTAATTTTTGTTATTTTGTATTTACCAGTTTATCTACCTGGCGAAGCCCGTTGAATTCATCACCAGGTATAGCCCACCGAGCTGTTAGCTCGTGTCTCTTCTTTCAGGGGTGACCTGGCCTCACGCGACACCCTCTTCAAGTGGCCGACATCGTTATCGGCAACATCAGCGCCACACGCGGGAATTTAGAACAGCAGCAGCAGCACCACGTAGACGCACCACGTAGACGCACGCGCGTTGGTACTAAATGCGGAGGTGGGCGAAGCCGGGAGGAGGATCAACGCGACTACCACGGGGAGAGAGAGAGAGATAGGAGACCCAAGATCTCACTCGAACAGGCGTCGGCAGGGTCCGGGATCGAACCCGACTCGCGTAGCAGGCGGGCTGAGGACACAGCGGTGGCAACTGCCTCCAACACGCGCAGAGGGGCTGCTGGGTGCGGGTGGGCTGTGAGGGGTGCCGTGCGTTAGAAGTGAGCGCCTTGCCACTGGGGGTGGAAGGGGTGAGCGTGGAAAGGGGGTGGTGGAAGAGGGGGTGGTGGAATGGGTTGGTGTGTGAAGGGGAGCGGTGGTGTAGCAGTTAGCGCGCTGCGCTATGAACTTGGCGACCCGGATTCGATTCCCGCTCACAGACAACACCAGTGGCGATTATCTGAACCGATCCTGGGCCTCCCCTAGGTCGACTCAGCCTCAAATGAGTACCTGGTGCGATGATGTAAACATCGCCGCTAGGGAGACAAAGGCGGCCCGGCGTAGTGCTGGCCACCCCCACCCCCTCGTGTGCCGTGTCGGCCTTTATAGGTGCCCGCTAACACCACTTGCCCCTACAGTATGTTAAGGCTATACCGGGGTGGGGGGGGATCTTTGTCTTTGTGTTGTGAAGGCGGGAGCGGGAGGCTGCAAACAATCGGCAGAGCGATGAATTCGCCGCTGGTCGCTTTGACGCAACCCGCGAGAATCATCGCGAGGCGACCGCTCGCCCCGCCGCGCCGCCCGCGGTCGTCGTCGTCGTCGTCGTCGGCGGCGGCGGCGGCCGAGAAATCCGCCGCCTCCTTCTGGGCGCTGTGCCGCGAGCGCCACTTCGTGTACGCGGCGAACATCGGCGCCGGCGGGCAGACTCCGGCCCACGGTGCGACGAAGCTGCCCCGGGGAGCGGAGGTGGCGGCCGACGACGAGGAGCAGGATGAGGAGGGGTTGAGCTTCGGGCCCATGGGGGTGGAGCTGCGGAGGAACGTGCGCGCCGCGTGGTGGGCCGATGTGGTGACGGCCCGGCAGGACGTGGTCGGGGTGGAGACGCCGGCTCTGAGCCCGGCCACTCGCGAGCTGAGACGCTCTCTCGTCGACGGTGAGCGCCGCGCGCTGCGTCGTTGCGTTTTCGCTCATCGCGGGGGTTTCGCACGTTCAGAGATGGTTCGCCGCGTGTGCCGCACCGATACAAATCCTCGCCGTCGTCCGTCGTGATCATCGGTTGGGTCAGTCAGTTTTAAGAGGAGGCCCCGGTGGCTGGGAGATGTTAACTACCTCGCCTGGTCTACAGGATGTCGTGGGTTCGATCCCGACCCTGACACCTGCTGCATATTTAGAGTCTACCATGTCTCTCTCCCCGTGGTCGCGTGGATTTTGCTCCGAGTCCTCCGGTTTTTCCCCTCCACATTTCGAGACATTCGTTGAGAATGTTTGAGCTGCAATCCATTTCCAAATCATTTGCGGCCAGGTCGCTATATAGCTCAGTGGGGCTCACCTGGTAAAAAAAAAAATGTAGATTTATAATGGTAATATCAGAGACAATGAGCCACCAATGCAGAGAACCTGGGTTCAAGCCCTGGGTCTGGGTGGCGTCGCGAGTCTTGAGGGTTCATGATGGCCATGTCCGAGTCGCCGTGTGTTCATCTGTCTCTGTTCTAACCCTCCTCCTCTCTTGTGTGCCCCAAGGCATGCTGGGATGCTACCCACAAGCCCTTGCACTTTCCAACCGCAAACTGCCCTTTGGCCTTGCACAGGTGGGGGTCTGCAGGCCGCGGGGAGAGAGGTGAGTGAGTGGGAGCCGAGACAGACTAGCAGTGGACTGAACATGGCTGATGATGACTTGGGGCGGTGACATGGCCGAGTGGTAACGCGTTTGCCGCTCGTTGTCATGCTGTGTGTGTGTACGTGCGAGTGTGTATGTTGCTTTGTGGGGAGAGGTTAGAGCTCTGCGCTGAGAACCCGGCCACCCGAGTTGGATTCCCGCTCGCGGCCAACACCAGTGGCGAATATCTGAACCGGTCCTGGGCCTCCCCTAGGTCGACTCGGCCTAAAATGAGTATTTGGGATGGTGTGTAAGCATCACCACTGAGGAGACAAAGGTGGCCGGGTGTGGTGCTGGCCACCCACCCCCTCGTGTGCCGTGCCAGCCTTCAAAGTTGCTTGCTAACATAACTTGCCCCAACAGTCTGTTAAGGCTATACAGGAATCTTTGCATGCGTGTTTGTTTCCGCTCACAACCAATAACAGTGGTGAATATTTGAAGCGGTCCTGGGCCTCGCCTAGGTTGACTCAGCCTTAAATGAGTACCTGGTGCGGTGTGTAAACATTACCACTGGGGGGACAAAGGCGG